AGTTCTCATCTTCCAGCTCCCCAGATACGCGCGCACATGGGACAAATCGCGCTCTCGCCTGCATTTCGCGCACTCCACACGCACGATCTCCGCAGAGGGTTGCGCGCGCATGGGACAAATCGCACTCTCGCCTGCATTTCGCGTGCTCGACACGCACGATCTCCGCAGAGGGTTGCGCGTCAAGTCTCCAAAACGAGCGTTTCGGTCGAAACTTCGTCAAAGTCTGCAAAACGAGCGTTTCGTACGAGACTTCCTCCAAAAGTCAAGCGCACACCCCCATCGGTCACACACACATCACGCAGCTCTGCCAAGCAGTTTCGCGATTCCAGCCCCTCCAAACAACACCCGCTCACATGCCAATCCCAATGTGACAGCGACATTCACCTCTACCACAACTCACAACCTCACGATTCCCTGCGCCTACCACGAATCTTTCCGCGTCCACACGTGTGACGCGCGCAAGCGAATGGAGAGAAGCTTTTTGGTCCAAGACATTTCAAACAATTTCAATCCATGCGTGCTCGAGCAGGTGAACTTTTCCGTGAAGAATCTGCGCGCCAAGCTGTATCTCGACTTTGGAATTCTGCTCCTCGACCTTTGATAGATTATCAGGTTGGAGACTTTATGATGATTTGGCGCACCATGACATTGAAAGCACGCAAACAAGATGAAAACTACAATCCAGAAGCAATATTTTTTGGACCAAGACGAATTGTATTAATAGAGCCTACAATTTTAGAAGACAAGCGGAAGGCAATCATTTGGGTTCTTTGTGGAACAAAATTGCACAGGTATGCACGTGAAAAACTAAGACCAACAACTGAACAAGAGACAGTGGTTGAGATTCTGAGATCTGGTGAGATTTTGTCGAAACCTCGTACTGAACTTCTTTCACGATTGAAGAATTTCACAAATGTTTCAAAAGAGCCTTTTACTCCGGATCATCCTGAATACCAATCTGCAGAGGAGACTGAGCGGAAGACAATTCGACTGGACACCGTGTCCGCTCTGCGTGCCAGATGGGAACAATTGGTATCGATTAACCAGAACCGGCGGCTGGAAGGACTTCCTCCATTGATGCAGCTTCCAACCCAAGTATTGGAGCAAAATCCAGTGATGTAAATTTTTGAAGATTCTGATCCACAACATGTTAAATGTTCACCCGGAGTTCAAACAGCAAAAAACAGAATGAAGAACATTCATCTTCTGGATCAAGAAACGCAGAAACTGGTTTTGGAGCGAATCCACATGTTGGAAAAGGAAATCAAGATGAAACAAGAAATAGAACAACTTCACGAAATGATCACTCAGGAACGCGAAGAGGAAACTCATTTCCTGTCCTTCATCCAGGACGACTTTCAGCGATCCGAAAAAGACCGTCAATGGGTCTTTCAGATTGAGTTCGACGTTTCGGAAGAAATTGCTGATGCTAATCCGTTTTTGTACGTGAAGCGTGTCTTGGAAGGGAACAAAAACGTAGAGATCACCTACAAACAGCTGTCTCCAGAACATGTTCCTTTGTTTGATGAAGCAAAAGCCAGAGAGGTCGCTGAAGTTTTGGGTTCAATGGCACTTCGCGCAATACAATCTAGAGAAGAACTGCAAGAAGCTTTGAGCCATCCTAAACGCCATATTCCTATGAGATGGGTTCTTACTTGGAAACCGATTCAACCTCTTGAACCTCCTCCTCCAGGTAAACTAACTTCAGTGATGCTAGACGGTAGTTGTAAAGCTAAAGCTCGGATAATACTTCTAGGGTTTAAATATCCAGACCTTGTAAAAAGAAATCCAATCACAGGTCAACCAGAACTTAAGACAGCAATACCGACCATTTCACGCATAGGGAGAAACCTTCTCCTTCAATGTTTTGCTTTCGATAAACATGAGATTGAATCTGCCGATGCTAAATCTGCATTTTTGCAAGCTGCTAATTGTGAAGAAGATAGGCGCTTGTGGACGAAAGCAATTCCAGAAATTGCAGTGCCTCTTGGACTAAAACCAGGGCAATTGATGCGTGATTTGGGTGCCATTTACGGCCTTAGCAATGCTCCTCGCATCTTTTGGCAAGATAATGATTTGAATTTCCAAAAGTTCGGTGGGATTCCTCATCCCATGGATCGATGCATTTGGGTTTTTCGTGATCCTGAAGGGTCGGTTTTTGCCAGAATCGGTAGTCAAAAATGATTTTCTGATGGCAGGAAATCCCAAGAATAAATTTTGGATTGCCTTGAGAGAAAAGATAAAGGATATGTATCAATGGAATCCTTGGAAAAAGGGTAATTTTGTATATGCCGGATGCCGAATTCGCCAACCCACTTCCTACTCCATCCATGTCTCGCAAGAAGACTTTTGCAACTCTTTGTCTCCTATAGCAATTCAATCAGACGGCTCTTGCAGTGACAAAAATCCGATGACCCCATCGGAAACTTCGCAAGTTCGGACGCTTTTGATGAAAACACAATGGCGATCTTTACAGAGTGCTCCACAGTACGCTGCTCCAATCGGTATAGCTTCTTCCACGTTGTCGAATGGGAAACTGGCAAAATTGAGAGAAACAAATTCTATCATTCGAGATATGCATAAAATTGCAAAAGAGGATCTGATTTTTCACAATTTTAATTTTAGAATAATAAATAGATTAAAATATACGGATCTTGTTTTCTTACATTGGGGCGATGCTAGACACAACAACAGACCGACAGGTGGTTCGACTGGCGGGTTTGTTTCTAGAATTTCTTCATCCGAAATCTTGAGAGACAATAAAACATCCGTAATCTTAATTAATTAGAGATCCTGGAAATTTCGACGTCCTGCCAGAGGGACGAACTGCTCAGAAACACAAAGAATTACAGAAATTAAAAATAAAAATTAGAAAACCAGATTTATGTTTGCAATCCTGTACGAATACATCCTTCGATTTGGGAAGATAGACGCTCTAACTTCCATATTCACGAGACGGACTCGCGCGGGTGCTACGACTTACTGGGGAGCAATGAATCTCTATCAATTTCTGAAATTGCAATAGATCTATTTCATATCCAGAAGGAAATACAAGATGGTCTAAATTGTCTTGTTACGTAGGTGCCTTCGGACCTCAATTTAGCAAATTCTCTTATTAAAACATTTACATGGATGCATACAAAGAGATAAATTTGTTTCATGCCAACAAAAATTAGATAATAAAATTCAATGAAAAAAAAATCATTTCTACTCGTAAAATATAACGACTACGAATTCAAAAAAAAAGAAAGAACAGAAATAAGACCTACATTTTGCAGATATAACAAAAATTAAATGCATAATACCTAGATCAACCTTTTTGCCACAATTTATCTAAGATAAATAATTCCGGATATCTTCTCTTCAATTTTAAAATTTTTTTAACCTATACTAAATTAAGAAAAAATCATTAGTATTTCAATTATTATGTGTTTTCTTTAAAAAAACATTTTAATCCATTTCAATAATTTACAGAACCACAAATACGAATTATTCAAATTCTCGTCCACAAAACAACGTCTCTTAAATTCAGATTTAAACAAAATATCAAAAGGGTAGCACGAATCGCCTAAACCATATTTTAATTCTCCTTATTTAATCTCGTCTTTTCGCTTTCGCACGACGTTCGCAACCTACGCAACTTACGACTTAACATAACGTATAGATCTTTATATAAACATCTATAATATATATATATATATTTCTATATTTTTATAAATATTATATTAATAGAACTATTTATTTAATTTATAATATTAATAATATAATATTAATAATATAATAATATCAATAAATTCAATCCTATATAATCATCACCCAATTCTTCTTATATTTATATTTCAAAATTATGTTAAATATATTATTAATTATATATATAATTAGTCATATATGTTTTTAATAAATCTAATTGTTAGAATATATTTATTATTCATTATTAAATATAATTAAAAACAATTAATGTATTATTTTTTGAAAGATTTTCGAATTATTACCTATTTATTGAAGATATTTATGTCTTCCCAATTGGGCATTAAAGTTGGACATTGGTTTTTCGTTGTGCGACGCGGTGTGGCGCGGGTTTGGTAGAAAATGCATTTGTAGGTCCCGCGCGTAGGATAGCATGAATTATGCGGGGATAAATACGATGTTTCATTGGAGAATGGAATGCTTTGCAGTGTTAATGATATTTGGCATCGGATGATATATATTTCAAACCACGGGACGACTACATCACATATATAAATTGTTGACATTGGAAAAGCCAAGAAAGCGACGGGCATAACGGTCCTACAGAGATCATCTTTAAGGCTTAAAGGAGGTCAGACTCAATTGCCAGTACTTCGCGTCTTGGAACAAGGGCAAAACCAATGGTTGGTACAGTTGCGCAGGGCATAGCAACATGGATGCAAGTCGTCAACTTGCCCGGTCTCTCTCTCTCTCTCTCTTTCGTTGGCCAAAGAAAATACTAAAAAGCTTCTTGTTATATAGTTACTAGAGGTGAAACGATTCCCAGAATGTGGCAAACGGTGTGGTGAAATTACGTCTTTGATTCGGTGGTGGGCCTCGGTGGAAGTGTGCTTCGCACCAGCACGCGTCTGTAAACACGGTGTTTCCTTGGTGGCGTCAACAAGGCTTGTTGTCACATTGTTGCATCTAGAATTTGGCAATGAACTATCACATCCGTCCTTATATCGCTGCTGCATTCTTTCAACCGTGCACTTCCTCTGCAAAGTATGAATCCCGCTTTGTCTTCAGGCCACTCTGTCGTTTAGTCTATCATGTTTTTGTTGCTGTATATTCGAACACAGGGTATAGATTTGACATTAGAATACATAGCACTCCGTTTCTCAAGAATATTTAGACCTACCACCTCACCACCTCTATAGATTTAGAACCTCTAACATCTCTAACATGCCTATAGAATTGAAACACCCCGATGTTGTGTAGCCTGTAGGACACCGGCGTTCATTTTGACGCTGACAACGGAAAGAGCTCCGATTTCACGGCGGCTTTACCCACAGTGTCTGTTCTCGGACACGAACAACATCACTCATGCTAGGTCCACGTGAGGCGTCACCGCCTCAGTGTCGCAAGAAACTCATTGGTGTCACAGCCCTGTGAAGTGTAGGGAAGTGTAGGCTGAACATTTGAGTCCAAGACCTGACAGCCCCTTTGTGCGCCCAGACGCCGGTGAAACGCGTATTGCACCTTAGTCGAAGCTTGCAAAGAGATTCCGAAAGCAGCATGGCTACATGCAATTGAAGATCAGGATTGTGGGCTTTGAATGTGTTCGGCCTTCTTCTGCAGGAGGCACGGCAGGTGAATTGCTAAGCACACTGCCCTTAGCAAAGTCTTGTAGGCGCATGCGACATGCCCAGGAATTCACATCGTGCGGACACTTGAACAATCCTGCATTCTGACCTTCTCAGAGGAGCTGCCGCCACTGCCTGGCCGCAGTCCTGAGCAGTTGCGTTTTTTCGGAAGCTGGCCAAAAAGAGTCAAACAAATCATGCCAGCAGGTTTGCGAAGTGATATCCGAGATAGGCCTTACAAATGTCAACAGTGCTCATTTTGATGAGGCTCCCATCAATGGCGTTGACGCAGATCCAGCTATTGCAGAGCCTGCTCCGCGAAACAGCCTCAGCACTTTGTCAGTGCCGCTCTCTGGGGCACAAACAAATGAGAAAGTCTGAGGTGGGATTGGTCGGGCACCCATTCCCAGATGAAGCAGGCTCGAGGGAATCGCATTTTTTGTCCTCACAAAGAGTTCTGCACGAAACAAATTCTTGTTGCCCTGTCGGTGCACCTTCGATGTCGTACGTGATGAACTTGCCTGCGAAACATGTCCCAAGTCTCCAAATGCACGCACTTTTCGGCGATGTACTAGTCATGCCGCTGCCTGCGAGGCGGTCCTTGAATTTGCTGCCTCGTCATCTTCCACCCTCAAGTCAGATGTGATCGTCAAAAGAAACACAAACACAAGGGAGGAAGTCGCTCACCTTGTCTTTGACAAGCCGTTGATGTCGCTGCCAACCACTTTGAAGGTGCCACGTTGGTCCATCATACGTCTCTCATGAGCCTTTCAAGGTACATCATGAGCTGATCACCAGCGAGGTCACACTGTCAGCATCATGGCACCTTCTGCTTCTCCTGCGCCATCAAAGCCGCCGCCTGCAGCATCAGTGGCAGCAAAGGATTGCAAACGGTTTCTTTTGGATTGGTTCCTCCCGTAAACGGAGGCGCTCATTCTCTGCTTGCTCCTCTTTGGCCTGAAAAGTCATAATCACAACTGCTCTCAAATACAACTGTCGACTCTCTAGCAGCTAGTAACTAGAGCCTTTCTTCGCCTTTCTTGCGGAGAGAGTTCATCTTCTTCCTGCTTGCCTGCCACACCGGCTGATAGGCTCTGTTCATGTCATGATCGCGTCACGCCGAGCCTCCATTAGAGGCGCTTTGTGAGTCTTTCGCCTCCTTCTCATAGGGCTGACACCAACACATGGTTCAGAAATAAGAACCACGTCCTTGCTGTCTCGGATCTCACCGGCCCCCTTACTGTCCTTGCTGGTCCTGCCGTGGTAAGCCCCCAATCCCTCTAGTACTCAGTACTTTAAACTCAAACATGCTCTGCCTCCGTGTCTTGGAGAGGTGCCTGCCATCAAGCTACAAGACTCACTTTAAACTTTAAACCAGTTTCGCCTGTCAGAATCACCGGTTGCTTCCACCACCCCTTCCATACCCAGCCTATCAGCAAGAGCTGGCCTTGGTCCCACATCAGTGTGTCAAACGCAAAGCTGCACAACTCCTAAAGCCGCAGCAAATCAGCTTCTGTTCGGGGTTTCATCTGGCACGGGCCAGGCTGAAAGATTCACAACTGGAGCAACAAACAGTAGTACAATACCCCCACAGCCTCTTGCTCTTTCATCTCCAGTAGCCATTGGCGCTGCTCTTCTTCAAAGGCAGCCAGCCGCCTTGATTGTTTTGGTGGCGGTGAGTGCTTTTAGGCAGCACATGGCAGCAACAAGGAACAACTCGAACAACCACAATCGATTTACCAATGCGCTCCTCAGCTCTAGCCTTTTGAATTTTATCCTTGGCTTTTTCATCATCTGCTTCCTCCGCAGCAGGAGGCTCAAAACAACACCCCTGGAAACCAACAGGCGCATCCTTCCAGAACCTTCTTTGCTGGGACCAAATGGGGCAGTGAAATCACACAATTGAAGGCCATCGTGTGGAAGAACTGCTGATAGGACCAGTTAAGACTCCGGCAAAAAGACACAATTTAAACCAAGCACACAAAACGATGTATCGGGCCGGGCCCAACGGCCATTGCAGTCATCCAATCTAATTATATACTCGGATTTCCGTTCTCAGCTATCTCGTCTGCAATTTCCATCTGCAAGTTGCGCATATTTTCCACATCTCCATTGCGACTACCGCGCTGCTATGCACTTAGGCTTGATGAGACAACCGAGTCGCACGATGTGGCCGTTTTCCTCCGCTGGTACGAAACCATTCGAGAAATGACCTCTTCGGGAATGTGGCCCTACTCGATCAGATCTTGTTGGATTCCTGGTGGTTCAAACACCATTCCATCCAAAATCTGAATTCTCAGCTGCAGCGCAACCAAGGCTTTCTCTTTCCATTGGCCTTGCCGCCTTTCTCACAAAGCTCATCTTCCGGCCCTCCATCTTTTGCTCTCGTCTTTCCATGGCCTTTGGAATAAGGTCCATTGTCATCTTATCGTGGACCTTTGCCTTTCTTTCCTGCGTCTGTGTTCTTCTGCTTTCCACCCTTCTTTGCTTTCGTGTTTCCTTCACCGTTCACTCCTTTGCGATCACCGCGGTCTGTGCTTGCTTGGCTTTCAACTTCGTAGTCCTCTGCGCCGCGCTGCTTGCTTCATCACCTTGATCTCTTTCACTTCGATCATTAGGCCTTCTGAACTCAATGTCGTTCTCCTGCTGGAATGCCACATGCCCATACTTGACACTAACCCAACCGTCTGGCCACCTGGACTCTTCCAACCAAGTGTTCTGGTCTTCATGACCTTCTCTCATGTGGTAGACATACTGTCTCATCCTCATCGTCCAGATGTAGTTGATCACTCTCTTCCTCGCCATTCGGTACTGCGTGAATTTTTCAATGGCATCATCGATTGTGTCAGCTTCTCCACAACGTACACTTCAATGCCAAAGCCTTTACAGATCAAGCTGAGTCTGTGGTCATCATATCCAGCCAAGTTCAAGTTCTCACAGTGTCAATTGAGTACTCTCAGCTTCCTTCCAAGCTTCCATAGCCATAGTCCATAGTCCGTCGGGGCTTCTCATGGCGCATCGATCTCTCCTTGCTCTCTACCTTTGCCGTCCAAGGAATGATGCAACGCTCTCGGGATTTTCGACTCCTCTCGAGAACTGGGCCTCCGTCTGGACCCTGTAGTGGTTGTGGGTCTCTTGAACCTCTTGCCGGTACTCTCTCAAGCTCTTCCTCCTCTTCTTCTTCGCCATCTAACTGCACCATTCTGATGTGTGTATGCAACTGACCAACTTCATGTAGTCTCGGTGGGTCTTCAGCTGTTTCTTCCTCCTCGCAACCTTCATTCCAACTTCTTGCATGGGGTGGCATTGCGCTCACAACCTCATTGAAAGGAAGTCCTGAATCTGTCGCCTGCTGCTCCGTTCGCCTGCGAGCTCACCATACTTCCTTGCTTCTTCGCTGTTCAACCTCAGGACCTCAATCAGTCTCTCAAATAGTCCCATGAGTTTCTGAACTGGGACAACCTTTGGCCATCTTCCAAATCAGATTCAAAAGAACTCCTCCGTCAACCGTGTCAACTTCTTCGCAATCTGGCATGCTGCGGTTGAACTCTTCGGAATGCTTCCCCTTCTATCATTCGTCTCATCGCCTTCAACCTCTGCCTTGCTTCTTGCTTCTCCTTCTCAGCATAAACTCTTCTCTTCCCAAGCTGCCGTCTTCGTCCTCAAAGCTCATCAAGTAGAGAAGCATTCGCGCACGCCTTCCTGGGAAGGACAGGATTCGTCTTTGTGTCAATTCGTTGCCTTGCCTCTGTTGGAGCCAAAGCAACCTCCCTGACAAACGCTTGACCTTGCCAACTCCTTCTTTCTGAGCCACGGCAATGCTTGAGGAATTGCCCCAGTAAATCACCAGCTTTGCCAGGCGTTCAACAGCTGCTTTCACTAGCAATCCTTCAGACTCTCCTGAAACCTATGCAACATACTCTGACTCTGTACCGCTCAATGCGATGCGCTTCTGCGTCCTTGAGTTTGCGTGAACCCAGCTGCTTTCAAAGGAAAATGCATTGGCATGGCGTCGAACTTCTGCTCTTGTTTCCTGACCAATCTGAATCACAAGCGGCTTCAAGCATCCAGTGGTCGTCATCGTCCTCACAAATGGGAACTGAAGTGAGTCCGTCCACAAGCTTGACCTCGAAACGAACTTGCCTTGTTCCGACTTCTCATTGCCACGTGGGTGTCCTGTGTCACACACAGGTATCTTGCCAGCTTCAACAACGAAGTCCAGCTTCCCTCTTGTAGATGTCCTGCCAGTTCTTTGGCCATGAACTGAATGTCAGGTCTATCTCCAGCGATGTACAACAACGTTCCAGCTCCACTTCTGTATGCCCCAATCCTCTCATCACCTTCCTTCATCTTCGTGTCATCGACGTCCATGGCTAGTGCCCTTGCTTTCTTCACTCCTCCAAATTTCGAAAGCAACTTCAGCAGTTGACTGCAAACTCAGTCCTGCCTGGCGTCAATGTGATGGTTCCCTTTAAGAAGTTCAACAACTGTCCTTCCTTGACTGAGACCTTGCACAACTTCATGAGGTGATCGACGAGTCTTGCCATTGCCTGAACTTCAGATCCAATGATCATGTCATCGACGCGAACAGGCAAGATGACACCTTCTCCTCTCCAAAGTGTCGGTGGTCCCGCACAGTTCCAGACCTCCTCTCTTCAATGTCGACTTCAACTCTTGGAACCATTGCGCTGCTCCTTCTCTTTGTCGTGGCAACACTTTTCCCAGACCCACTGCTCTGGCAACCCAAGTCGCTCTGCCAAAGCGCTGCCCAATGACACTTTGACTTTCTTCGGCTGACTGCGCGCGAGATGTGTGGCTTTGACATCGATCCCTTAGCAATGATTGACCTCCTACTGGAGCAAGCACATCTGATCTGGCCTGTTTGGATCCTCCCGAGCGAAGTCCCTGGCAACCAAGCTCGCTCTGCGCATCCACTTCTGCTCTGGCGTCGCCATCTCCCCTCCATGACCAGTTTGGTCGCTAGAAGTGGGATCTCATACAACTCCTCTCCAGCCTCAGCTAGGCGTAGTCCATGTTGACCAATCTCTCAACCTCCTCGTTCGTGCCTTTATCATCTTCGATCTTTGACGTCCAGGTGGGTGATCTGGAAACGTCAAAGATTCATCACCATCCTCCTGCCACGACCATCCTGATCGACTGGATGCTGCTATGGCATCAACCTTAGCTTCACTTCCACTTAACCTTCTGAGACATCTTCAAGGCTTTATGGGGCACGCTCCTCAATTTTTTGTTGGGCTAGCTTCAACTGTACCTCCTTCACTTCTTCTCACCTCCTGAATCTCCTGGTTCGCGTCTTGGGTCTTTCTCCAAGCCTTGTAGTCTTGTAGCAACGTGTCATCTCCAATCTCCATGTTGCCACTACCCGCAATGCTCGGTGAACACTCCTCATCTGGAGGGTCAGAAGCTGCCTCATCCTCAATCACCCCTGCCTGCCTTCGACGCTCTTTGGCCTCCTGTTCGAAATCCTTTAAGGCTTCAACCTCCTTCTCATCTGGCTTTCTCTTCTTAGCTTCTCGTTCTATTGTGGCCTCTTCTCGTTCCTCTGCTCTGATTGCTGGCGCCATTGCTGGTGGTAAAGGCGCGGTAGCGACGTGGCCATCAAAGCTGAAGGTTTTGCCCCGATCTGGCCAGTTTTGGCAATCTGTCTTCCCAAGCCAGCAACCAACCTCAATTTTGTCATCTCCCATTTGCTCCTCTCACCTTGGCCAAACCACGTTCACCAAACATGGCAACTTTTCCTCCATACTTTCTTCTGCTCCTCATTTCATGAGCTGTTGGACCACCACCCTTTCTCCTGTAAACCTGCATGGCGCAGTGCCCACAAGAAGATGATGGCCTGATGTTCAGTTGACACCCTTCTCTCACAGCCCCCAGCGCCTTTGCAAGGCTACGAACGACTGAAAAATCTCTCGTTCAACTCCGCCGTTCCTCTGTGAGTCGTGTGGACCACTGAGCTCCACATTGGTGTGGAAACCAAGCTTCAACCTGGCTTGCTGGACAAGCAACACCCTCATCAAAGGTTCCCCATCACCCTTCCAGATCCTGAGTCGAGAATATCCCAGGCTGCCAATGAACCGAAGAACTTGTTCAGCCTGTGACTTCAAGCCTGCTACCTACAAAACGAAAAAGTAGTGGGTCCGAGGATTGAACTCGGGACTCGGGACCTCCCACGCGTGAGGCGGGCGTCATAACCACTAGACCAATCCAGCAGGCGCACGAATGGGGGAAACATGAAGCATCAGTGAACACGAGAGAGCTACACCTCCTCGCAAGTCTCCCTGATACATCCTCAGGTCTTCTTTTGTCACCTCATCAACTCCGTCTTCGCCCTTCGCCCTTGAACTGTGGACCCTCTTTTCCCCCTTGCTGCAGCGCCACGCTCGCACAAATTTTGATAAGGCCAGTGCGTCAACTCGTGGACCTGTCTCTCAGCTTTACTTGGAACTCGAGGTGCTATGTGTCCTCTTGCTTTCTTACCTTCATCTGGCTTGCTCTTCTGGAACTCCTTTCTTGCAAGTTCAGTACTCAAGTTCTCCACAAAGTGAGTGTAACGATGTACAAGCATCGACCAAGCATTTCTTCAAATTTGCGCGTAGTTTTCGGAATGGTGAAGTCTTCTTGTAACTCTCTCCTTCAACGCTCATCAGCCTCGCGCAGCTCTCCGAGCTCCTCTTCATCATCTTCTTCCTCATAGACGCCATCCTTGAGGCTTTGCCCAAACCAACCATCACCTGCGGCTTTCTTCTCTTCTGCCTCATCCTCTTTCCCCATCAACTCAGGCTTCAAAGCCATCAGGCTTCAAAGGAATGGAGTCCTCCCCTGCGTGATGGCACCAATGTCCATGGATTCGGCTGAAGACTGATGGAAGAAGCACAAGACGGTTGTCTCCCTTCTTGATCACCACCGTCCTGTGAGGGAAGTCCACGCTGTTGAACTGTGGGTAGCTGTCTTTGTTGGCACTTATTGTTCAAACAACCAAGAAAACTCTAGGCCTCTCTTGGTGGAACTTCTTGATCTTTGCCCCTGTGACCAACGAGTTGTGTCTGAAGCTCGACTGTTTGCCAAACAAGCCGCGTGTCAACTTCACATTGTCATTTGCACCTTCCAACTTCCAGCCTTTCCTCAACAGTTTCCCCAGAGCCAACAAAGGTTCAGAAACGTTCGACAAAGAAAAACTCTCTCGAAGGTGTGCCTGATGTCCTTGTTCACCTTCAAGTCTTCAAGTACAACATAGTACAACCCTTGTCTGGCGCATTGCACCTCCACCCAAGACTGCAAAGGTCATAGGCAACACCGAAGCATCTGCGCCTGTGTCCAGAACTACTCTGTAATCCTCTGCTTGCGCAACACCTGTCACCAAGCATCACCCTGACGGCCTTGAACCATCACCAACCAAATCCATGTAGTTTTCGAACCTGGCTTCATTCTCCAATCTTCTACGAAGATCACCCAATCCGTGGCGTGTCCTCATCGCCGTAAGTGAGATCATCGATGCCCAAAAGGATCGCCTCAAGCCTTTGAACTGTCCCTGCTGTGACATTGGTGTCACTCTTGGTTGCACTCGACTGCTTACTTGCCGCGCTTGCAGCTCCTGATCGTGGTGCTGAAGTGCTGCTGGAGTCTGACACCTGGCGAAGTGTTCTCACTGGGCACTCTCGCCCTTGCCACCACAAACCTTGCAAACATCCGGCGGCGGCTGCAGGGCGCTAGTGCAGCTGCAGCGTTTGGGAGCTTGGTGCTGGTGCCGCTGGAGGGCGCGCTGCAGTATGCGCCTGTGCTGGCGCTGCTGCAGGGTCCGCTGCTGTGGCGCCGTTCCGGCGCTATATGTATGTGTATGTATATGTATGTATATATGTAGGTATGTATGCGATCCCTTCCACTATTTAGACACCACAAGGGCCCCTTCCCTTGTAGAGAAACTCGCGCGCGTTCTCAAAACCGAAAACTCATTAGACTAAAAACAACTGAAGCTGCGGTCTTGCGGCCTCGGTGGGAAGTGCGCTTGCGTGAGTCCGTGCCATTGGGGAAAGGAACGCATGCATGGTGGACAGACAGGGCCGACAGAGTTGCACAGTTAGGATTGTTTTAGGAACCTATTTCCCCAGATAGCTGCACACTACAGGTGCAGGCGCTGATCGGCGTGTTGGCCACGCTGATGCTGGCGCAGGCTTACCTTTGCCATCCTTGCCACCTTTGGAGCCTTTGGCGCTCTTTCCTTTTCCTTTGCCCTTGTCATATGCAGTGTTGTAAGCGCCATAGCCCTTGCCCTTGTCTTTTCCTTTGCAATCTTTTTCCTTTGTTCTTACCTTTTGCTTTGCCTTTCTCTTTCCGTTTGATTCGCTCAGTGTCCATGGGAACAACATGCTGCTGCTTGTCGTCTCGTATCCCAATGTCAAAGTCTTTGCAAACTGCCTGTGAGCTGTATGATGTTGTGGTGCGCTCAAACGACAACAACTTCTCTCTCAACTCGCTGTAGGTCGCGCTCTCATCCATTGTCAAGTCCCAACAACTGCTCCAAAACCCCCAGACCCTTGTCTCTGCTGAACACTGGATGCCAAGCCTCCAGGCCGTTTCTCCCTTCCACCGATCTCAGGATCTTCAGCGGTCGATGTCGAAGAAGTCCAGAAAGATGCTATGCAATTGCTCAGCACGTGTATGCCGCTCCTGGTCCATCTCCACAAAGTTCTCTGCCTCATTCAAGTCCGCCTTGTACTTGCTATCAGCAAAGGTCAGCCATGACCGAAAGGTCAATCTCCAATCCTGCCACTGCGAGATCTCCTCTTCCTGATTCGTTGGTGAAAACACCTCAGGATGCTTCGACACTTTGCTTGCGCTGCCAAACTTTTGGCTTTTCCCTTCTCTTCTCTCAGCAACCGAACCGCTTCAACGGCGGCTGCAGCTGACTGGCTTGAGCTCAGAACCACCCTCTCTGTCTCCTTCTTTCTTTTCACCTTCTCCTCTTCTCTCAACCTCAGGCCCAAAATGGAATGGCCTTTCCCAAAGGTCCTCTTCTTCGTCTTTCCCGGGGTATATGACTGCCCCCGGGCGGCTCCGCTGTGAAACAACTGAGTCGCATGAGCGGCCGTTTTCCTCAGCTGGTACTCGAGCCTTGGGCCATGGTATGTCAACCTTCATGAAAGGACATGGGTGCTGCTGTCTGTCTTGCGCTTAAAGACTCGGGTATTGTCACACAAAACGCAAAATCACAAAGCGGCAAACACGTTCAATTCCCAGAGCAGCCCATTGTGCGACCACAAAAACTACAACTTGAGTCAGCAGCTTTGAGGCAAAATAATTTGCCCGTCAAGCCATGATATAGGGTCTTCTTCTTTTCTCTGCGGAGCATTGAAATGCATTGCGTATGATCACATTTCTCAGGAAGAGCTGCCCTTGCCAGAGAACACGCACTATGCGCAAACACCAGCTTTTGCAAAGTACGCCGGCTTGAAAACGCTTGCCAGAATTGCACCTAGTGAGCCTAATGCGCGCTGCTAAGGTCATTGGTTCGCATCGGCACTGAAGCGTCTGGAGTCCAGAGTTCAAAAAAGATCTTAATTCCTCTCCAAAAATGAACGCAGCCCAGGTCTGAACTCTAGAGGAAACCCTGTGGTTTTGCACTGTCATGTGTAACCGAGACTTAAACTTTGTAGATCAGTCTTTTAACCCCTTCAAAAGACTGAACACCGGAGTTGCTCCTCGAGCAGAACAAGGTTATATCCTCAACATTAAGGACCCGGATTTAACTAAGGCATGAAATGACGGACCCCGGTTGAACTGAGAAATGAAATGACAGGCTGGGGTCCAACGGAGAATTGAAATAGGAGACCCGAGTTTAATTAAGAAATGAAATCGCAAACCTGCATTTAATTAAATTACTCAGCCAGGTTCATTAAATGAAACGACAGACCCGGGCTTAACTAAAAAATGACATGACAGGCCGGGTTTTACCTAAGAAATGAAATGACAGGCCGGGTGTAACTAAAACCAAGAAATGAAATGACAAGCCGGGTGTAACCAATATGAAATGAATACTAGAGTAATTCTATGTGGTAGAGGCTTGCTGAAAAAGATAACATGTCCGCAACAATAGCGTAAACAATAAACGTGCAAAATATTAACGACAAAAAGGTTGAACTCTGGAGTTTAGACTTGGTAGCTGCTCCAAGGAAAAGAGAATAATAGACTCACAAGAGCAAACTCACAAGAACAATTGCATCCTTGGATGTTCTTTAAACAGACACCTGAAGGATCTCCAAACTATAGAGGAAAGCCAAACAATAGAGAAATGACTGAACTCTGGAGTTAACCTCAAAATGAACATGTATGTGAAAAGACTGAACTGTAAAGTTAAGACCTTGAACTCTGAGTCTCAGTCCTTTCTCTGGTTTTCACACTTCCCTGGGGGAAAGCACCCAGTGAGCAACCACTCGCAACTCACACAGCTACTTGACACACGATCCCCGAGCGCCAAGATCTTTGTCGACAGGCCCTCCACTCCACGAGGCACTGGCAGCATTACCCCGACGATTCAAAAAACAGGTGTCGCTCCTGCTGTGTCCGGAATGCTTTGTCATTGGATCCTTCTTCCGTGCCCTCGTCACTTCTTGCTTGGGGTCCAGCCTTGTTGGATCCCCCGTCTTGTGGGACCTCACCGCTCCATGACCAAACAATGACAGCAACAAAACTAGACGACGAGTGGCCCGAAAGCATTTTTCATCAAGTAGCAAGTCAGAGTGCGAGTTATCTGTTAAGTGTGCAGTGTGAAGTGTTAAGTCGAGTGAGTTGAGGTAGTGTGTGGGTTTCTGTGCGTGTATCTATGTCCGTGTGTATATGGGTCTGCGTATGTGTGTGTGTTCGTGTAAGTTGAGGCAGTGCGTGGGTGTCTGTGTGTGATGCGGCCTCCCAAACCCCCC